ACGACGACGCTGGTCGAAGCTTGTGTGCCGCCCTCATCCCGTGTTTGCCCACGTTGAAACCCTAGATAGGCGCTGGCGTCTGTCCAAGGAGAAGAGGATCTCGACAACGACACATCTGGTCACCAAGGAAGACAGAGACTGCAGGCAGGGTAAAGAGCCCCCTTTGCAGTTGGTACCGTGGGCTGTTTCAGTTGGCACAAGTTGCGCTCTGGCTCGGCGATCAGAGCCTACAGAGTATCTTAGTCACAACCTCTGCTATCTGTACTTGCCCATCACCAAACGCTACAGCTGTCAGCACAGGTGCCCAAGGACACCCTTCCGGCCTCCTTGTTAAGCCACGTTGGCCTATCTTCTCCTCCATGGCGTTGGCCGAGTTTCCCCCTCATCGGTCAGCTTCTAGCCTGGAAGCCAACGCCGTTAGGGGGCGTCGTGGCGATCTGGTCAGACTGGACTCAACACATGTGGCTTTCCCTTTGGTCTTTGTCTTCTGTGGAAGAGAAGCCAGAGAGAAAGAAACAGAATATCTAGGGTAAGGCACGTGTAGTCAGAGATTGTTTCGTTTATCTAATTGGCCCTATAATCTAATTACGAAATAGCAGAGCACTTAGCAGTCTATCCACCGGGAAGCTCCCAGCGACATGGGCAGTCAGTCGGACGAAGCGCCTGTAACTTTCGCATCTGAGTTTTAATGGTAAATTGTAGGCGAGCAGCGAAGTCTCACCAAGTGCGCTGTGCTCTCCTGGACAGTGCTCCCATCCCGCTATCTTGTCAAGCCTCGCCCAATGAGATATGCTTACTGCTAGGGATACGTACCGTCCCACGACCTTAACTCGAGGTACTTCCTTGCATTTCCACCCCAGGTTGTTCCTCTCTGTGTATTTCTGCATCCCTACGGAGATGAATTAAGGAATAAAAAATAGCCAACTCCAACGAGAAAGAGAGAGAGAGAGAGAGAGAGAGAACAGGCCATCTCTACCTGCCTTGAGGTACCTTGGCTTGCGACTTGCCATCTGCCATCTGCCAACTGCCAATATCTACGTACCTGGTACCTAGCATTGAGGCACAATTGTGCGCCGTCCTGAGGTTACCTTTCCTCACCTGCTTATGCAGTACCTTGCCATTAATTACTGCATCGGCTGCGGCTGCTGCTGCTCTTAGGTACCTTACCTGACCATTTCGTTTCCCAGGTGTTGGTCTTTTGCACACTCTACCTATCCTCTCCCTCCCACAAAGTGAACGATTGGTTCCTGGACGCTCCTTAGCACTTCTTCACCATCTCTCTTCTTCCCCCTTCTTGTGCTGCCTCTTCTGGATTCTGCCTTCTGCTTGAACCAGGAAGCGCCCTTCGCTGCAGACCAGTCTTCGCATCTGCCGTGTTACGATTCTGACGACTAGATATTTCATCTGCTTCTGTAATCACGCTCCCACCGCTCTGCTCTACAGAGAGTCCCGATACGCTTTCTGCGCCGCACCTCACGGACCTCCCTTTTCACAAACTTCCCCTCGACTCCCAACCTCCCCCAGGCTCGAGTTCCTCCGACACCTTACGCATACAATCCTCTTGCTCACGCCAGCTCTTCGCCATTCGGTGTAATCAGTTTTCTCCCCATGAAATTGCCGTCTTGGACCTTCTGTAATGATCAATGATATACGCATCTGACGTCGCCCCCGCCTGATATCTACCTACCTACCTACCTACCTCACATTCACCAACCGACCAATCGACAGCACTCATTCCTCGCTTCCCCCGACCCCCAAGCCGCCGATTGCACCCCTGGTCTTCCTTTGGCTGTCCTCTGAACTCCTCGATATCCTCAGACTTGCACAATTCCGTTTGTTAGGGTGGTTCATGTCATGTTCAAGTTAGGGTTGTGTGAACTACAGTAGAATTGCTATGAGTGGGGATCAGCTGGCGTCCAGGCAAGAATTCTACCAAACCCGCCCCGTTCACGTTCGTCTTTCTGTTTCTGCCTCTCGACCAGGTCGCAAAGATTGGCAGGCCGGACAATCTATCAAAACGCCATTTTGCTAACCAGAAACTCTGACTACAGCTTTGGAAACCCAAACGCTCAGCCGCCCACCCCCAAACAGACTCCCACCTCCGCCGTTTTCCCGAGCCCCGTTTTCGAAACTCCCAAGCAGTCCCAGGGTCACTTTGACGACGCTGGCGGTTGGACGCCTCGCTTTGCAGAGGAATACTCCGTCTTCAACACAACCCCAGGTAACCTTCGAGGCTCTCCGGGGTCCTTTCCCGACTTTGCCACAGGTGCTACTACCTTCCCTGCTTCGGCAAGCCTCAAGAGGCCTCTGTCCGCCGAGAGCCTCGCTGCTCAGATAGCAACACATGCCAACCACTTCTCTCCCAACACGAACCTACCTCTACCCCCGGTCACCGCAGCTCGACGACTGCCCTCTTCTCCCAGGCCCCCGATCGAGCAAGCAGACTTTTCCAGCCAGGAAGGCGGTTCGGCCAGCCCAGAGCAGGCGTCACAAGACAACATCGTAAAAAGTTCACAAGGCAGGGAGAGCGTGGTGGATCTGAACGGGCAAACGGCAACCCCTCCCCCATCTTCCCACAAGGGTGGCCGGAAGCTTGCTCCTAAGCTACAGGACGACAACATGCAGAATGACCATGGCTACGGCCAGCCTGACTTTTCTGGAAACCCACAACATCCCAACATGGCGGCCTTTGTGACTGCTACCGATATGTTCGGATATCCCATGTCGGCTCCGGCCAACGCTTCTGCAAGCTTCTGGGATCCGAGTGCCGACATGTCGGGCATGGAAATCGACTTCTCCTTTGGTCCTAATGTCTTTCAAACTTCGGGACATCGCCATATGCCTTCCTTTGATGCCTCGCAAATGTTTCAAGAGCCTGCTACCCTGCCGCCGTCAGGTAGCCAAGAGACTGCCCAACCCATCAAACGGACACGGCCCCTGGCTCCCAAACCTGTCATGAACAATGTCCAGTCCAGCTCGGCAGACATCTCCATGGTTACAAACTCGTTCTCAACCTCCATGGAGGACCCCTTCGGTATTATGAGTCCCGGCGGAGTCGATCCTGGTGTCCTATTCGGTCGACCGCTATCTGCAAACATGGGTGCAAACATCCCCGTCACACAAGGCTCAGCACAGTTTGCCCTTGCAGCGGCTGCAGAATCACAATCGAGAGCGCCTATGCACGGCGATATTCGCCGCTCCCTCAGTACCAAGGAGCTGGGTCAAGGAAGGCTATCCGGTCATGCTTCTATCAATTCCCCGGTCAAAATGAATGGGCGGCTCAATGGACTGCAACGAAGTGCCAGTGAAAATCGTGGAAGACGCGGACTCGCAAAGCCGTCATTGCCTAAGCTCGCTCCAGCCATACAGCCGAGGCCTCAGGTGGCTAATGGTCCCGTAGCTGGCCCAAGTAGGCCACCGAGCCGCCCGTCTGGCAGGATATCGCCCCTGAAACAGCAGCACTCTCGCCTCTCGAGCTTGACGTCGATACCCGAGTCGGCTCCTCCGAGACCTCGCACAGCTGTGAAGTTCACGATTGATTCGAGAGGCAGGGCGCGGGCCGAGACCACTATGGTGATGGATGAGCCGCGACTTGAGGAGGTACGAAGACTACCGGTGACACGGGAAATGCCGCGCAGGGAGAAGAGCTGGGAATCCGAGGATGACGACTCTTCGACAGACGACGAACCAATCATCATTCCCAGCCGAAATACTTCGTTCGCATTACCAGATCCCCGTCGACCGTCGTCGGCTTCCATGTTCCATTCGTCTCGAAGGAGCGTTAGTGAACATAGCTCGAGCAGCTTGGGGGCGTCGGTTTCGCAGCACGAGGCTGAGAGCGAGGCGGAGACCGTGATGAACGAGGCACAGGGAAAGGGGGGGGACGCAGCAAGCGAGCTACGGAAGCTCGTTGAGAGCCGCCAAAAGCGTGGCCATCAGGCACCTGGCAGTCAACGATCACAGCGATTTGCGTCGGGCAGTTTTCAAGATCACCTCGGGGGTATGATGTCACCGACGGGTTTCACGGAGGCCAGCCTACCCTCGCCGACGAAGGCGACGTACAACGTTCGATGCGTCTGCAGGAACAGCACGAATAGACAGGGAGAGTACATGGTCCAATGGTATGATGCCGTCCCCAGCCTGCCTCGTAAAGATGGCCGACTATCACCTATGATGATTCAGCAATGCTAACATTCCACAAGTGAGTCCTGCGAAATGTGGCTCCATGGGTCGTGTATCAACATATCCAAGCGGACACTTCCATCTGTGTACATATGTGCCTTCTGTTCAAACACACCCAACATGCGAGGCGGTCGACTCCGGGGTAATGGCCCGACGCTGGGACCGCCCGGGGCGAGCCCGCTAGCCCGCAAATCATTCAGGTAATACGTGAGTGCATTTTGGAGCACAACGATAATGACCGGCCCCGAAAAGTCGATGACGGCACGTGAGGAAAAGAAAAGGTTTAGAAAGAGAAACGGGGCAATCCGTCATCAGGTCATCTTGGATTATTGATGAGTATATATAATTTCCGAGTACATACCTTGCGGCTTAATTATGAATAACAAACGAGAGGATGCTAAGAAAAGAGAGTGCTGAAGATATCGTGAGATGACTGGAATTATGCAGAGTGACCAAGGAAGCGAGCTGAAGGCGGGTGTACCAATCTTCGGAGTTATCAGCAAAGGTCTAGCTGGACCTCGCCGGTAGCTCTGACACCAAGGAGACTGGCGATGCTATCATTGCTGAGCTGACCAAAGTTCTCAAGGCACCAGTGAGAGCGTGAGTAACTCGTATTATGGTTGGTTTACAGTTTCCACAGCACGATCTGAGAGGACCTTTCAACACGCTAATGCAATCTTCCCTGTTGAATTTGCGACAGCTTTAAACAATCTGCATTGGAAAGAAGAGTGCTATGCCGACGTGACTTCTGCCGTGCCGCGACTTTCCTACCTTTTTAAGCTTGCAAGTGCTTAACCTCAACTTCCTCGAAGAGACCCTCAACAGAAGGAAGTATTGATGTGCGTGTATCCGTACGCCTGGAGCACAAGTCAGCCGGCCATCCCGTGAGGGTCCAAACAATTGGAGGTTCATCTCACCTTTTTCCATCCAGGGATTGTGAGGTAGGCTGTACCATTTCAAACGTCAGCGCGCTCATACGCCTTTACACGTCCTCGCAAGATTTTCTACATCAAAGACTGGGAGGGGAGGTAAATATAGAGAAGAAGAGGAAGAAACTCACCACACTCCATATACCCATCCCCATTCCTGCCCCCGCAGGCCCTGGCAGCCCACTCGACGGCATCAACCCACTCCTGCACGACACACGGGTTCCCGCCGTCCCTCCCGTTGCCCACGTCCCCGCTTCCGGCATACGAACACATGTACGCCACCGCATCGCCCCAGTGGCTATAGATTTTCTCGCGGTAGCCGAGGCGTTTGCCGTTGAGGGCGGCGCACTGCGCTGCAAAGGCGTTGCGGGCGCCGTTGGGGTTGGAGTTGAAGGCGGCGGTGGTGATCCAGGGGCTGTCGGAGCAGAGGGGTTTGGTGTCGGAGGGCCAGGATGTTGCGTCGCGGCGGGGGAGGTGTGGTGTAAGTTGTGGTGTGGCTTGGGAGAATGGGGAGAGTTTATCTTCTACGGCGTGGATGTCGGGGATGGCGGAGACTCGGGTGTGGAGTTCTTCGCCTTCTGGGGTGAGGGTTACGATGTAGGTTCCTTGTTGGGAGCCTGGGGGCACGAGGGTTGAGAGGACTGGTCCGGCTGATGCCATGAGGATGGTTAGGTGGTGGAAGGGCCTGGAAATCATGTTTGCTTGCTATTCGTGTCAAGGTCGGGATCAAGAAGCACGTGGTTGCAAGTACATGATGATGTGAGGGGTCATGGGAACGCTTGGAGGGAGGCTTTACTTATACTTCATGTGTCAGAGGTCCGTTATCGAGTTTTGGTGTTTCGTCACATCCGTTCCGTATCTGGCAGTCGCTAGTTCCAAGATCGCGCCGGACCGATCCCGTTGTTTGAGTTGCGGATGTTCCCTACCATCATGGCGGTGGCCAATCATAATAGAAGGTAGGATAGTTATACAAAGCGATGATTGAAACGAAGTGCTCACACGTACCATATCTAGTCACGAGGTTAGACTCGAGGAACCCGATCGAAGATGCAGCCCAGCACCGGTGACCATCGGATGAGCGAGTGCCACAGGTAGAACGAAGAAAACGAACCATTTCTCGTTGTACATTAATCAGCTGTGTCACTTCCTTCTTATAACCAAGAATGTAGGATGTGTCTCTTTGGTCTATTGCTTTCCTTCCCACCGTGTCCCTTATGTCGTAATTGCAAAACGCCCCTTCCCCCATCTATCATCATCCCCTTTTCACCATACAGGCGACCGTCGTCGGTGACATGTTCAACATGGAGATCAAGTCCTCGTGCTCGTGATCGTAGACCAGAGCGTTGCACCTGATGTTGAACTTGTTCTGCATCGAGTCGTCCACGATGATGGTCTCCTCATCCTCACCGTCTTTGCCGCTAGATCTCACCGAGATGTGCCACTCTGATGGGTCGCGGTGCCGCGGTAGTAGCTTCACCGCGTGGAAGTTTGTCTGTTGTAGTGAAGATACCTGGACAAGCACCTCGCGGTCCCAGGCCTGACTGTCTGTTACTTCACGGCCCTAGAGAGAAGTTTGTGGTGTTAAATCATGCAATGATGAGATAGAAGCGGTGAAGATGGAAAGGAGCATGAGAGCTTGAGCACAAAACGGACTCCAACTTGGAGTCAGGGGACGAGTAATGGAATATGAATACCGAGCACATGTGGTCTATAGGGGAGGAATTACATTTGATGACGTTGGTGAAGAACCGCCACAGTCTGATTTCGACCTCGAACGAGCTTCACTTTGCAGACGGCGAGTACCTCGCCCTGAAGGGTTCATCCTCCAGTCTTCTGAATGCACGACATCGACCGTCTGGAAGTAAATCTTCATCTTTACGAAGCGAGTCGGCGGACGAACGGGGATATCGCGGAGCTTTTGTGGATTATTTGCTGAAAAAGGATACACACACAGGATGTTGGATCACAACTTCGTCAGGGGCTCTCTCCGGGACAGACGGCGGCTTTAAGTCCCCACAACAAGCTTCATCCCGCCGGAGGTGGGTAAGTCCCGTTGGGTCGACAGATCCTCGACGCTGCCCGTCTATCGGTACCGGCTTGCGGGGTCCCAAGCGGCGAGGCGTCGTTCTGCAGCCCCGGCGCGCCATCCTTTAGGTCTTACCGTCTTTAGCTGAAGGATTGCCTTTGAATGGCGGTGGACCGTGGGCCGTGTGCCGTGGATAGGATACCCCACTTGCCTCGGTCTGAACCGCGGCAAGGAATTATGGTACGAAACTCGGCCGTACAAGGGGACGTTGCTTGATGAATTCGTCCGTACGGGATCCCGCATTCTCGCTACGCATCGCAGACTGGGCCACCCGGATGGATGGTTGGACCGAAGGACCCGCCGATTTGTAGATCTAGAACGTCAAAACCGCGTTCTGGAGAATGCGCCGTTTGAGGAACACTACGTAATGACTTACATTGAGAGAGCTGCTAGCTGTGGATCGCTGACATACATTCAACTCAGACTTTGATGCGACTGTGAACACTTGCTTTTCATAATGTTGAACGTCTCTTAAGCTGTCGAAGCTGCGGAAAACATATCCCGCCGTGACCTGTCAAATGGTAAGAGACACTGCTGTAGGTATGCGTCGACACATCTTCACCCACTTGCAGCCGGTGGGGTGGTGAGACGAACATGACCAATTGGCAAACAATCGCCTCTTGCGAGGGACCTTCTCCAACTCAGGGCCTCGGTAGTGTACCCTCCAATGTTTGTATAAGTAAAGGTTGAGTGTATCCAATCGGCAATGGATTTCCAGTAATCGGTAGGTCAGATCAACATTTCGGAAACTTCAATCACGCAAACCATTCATACACCGACGCGATGTCTCAGGCCCTCCCTCTTCAGAACAAAGGCATCTTCCGCAACTTGCCAACTTTCCCATCGGATATCACAGACTTGACTGCCCTCATCACTGGCGCCAATGGCATCAGCGGGTTCCACACCCTCAGGGTCCTCCTCGACGCACCGCAGCGATGGAAGAAGGTCTGGATAGTGTCGAGAAGCCCCCTCTCGGAGAAGATGATGAGCTTCTTCTCCGCCGAGCAGCAGGCACGCATCGAACACATCTCGCTCGACTTTCTGGCGGACGCGGACGTCATCGCGCGGGGTCTAAAGGAGCGTCAAGTCACGGCGGACTACGTCTTTTTCTACTCCTACCTTCAACCCAAACCTGAGCCCGGCGCCGCGGCTTGGTCCAACGCCGAAGCTCTCGTCAAAGTCAATTGTATGTTTTCCACACAAGCGCTTTTCCCCGCTCGAGGAGAAAGACCACTCTGGTTAACACTCTCGGCCAGCCGCCTTGCTCCAAAACTTCCTAGGCGGACTCGAAAAGTCCTCCATCCGCCCCAAACGCATCGTCCTGCAGACCGGCGCCAAGAACTACGGCGGCCACATCGGCCAGGCCATCTCGCCGTTCGTGGAATCAGCGCAGCGCGTCACCAGCGAGCCAAACTTTTACTACCCGCAGGAAGACGCCCTCTTTGACCACTGCGCCAGGACGGGCGCAAAATGGAACGTCTTCCGCCCCTCCTGGATCATCGGCGCCGTGGAGAACGCGCAGATGAATGCGTTTTACGGGCTCGGCGTCTACGCCGCCGTGCAGGCTCACCTCGGCAGGCCGCTCGAGTTCCCCGGCACGATGGCGGCTTGGCTCAGGGACCACGCGCACTCGCATGCGCACCTTACCGGGTACCTGTCCGAGTGGGCTGTTTTGAATGAGCATTGCGGGAATGAGGGGTTTAACTCGAGCGATCAGGGGTCGTTTAGCTATGCGTTGTTCTGGCCCGAGCTTGCGAAGTGGTTTGGGATTTCAGAGGTTGGAAGGCCTGAGTTGGATGAGTCGAAGATGCAGACGATTTCAATGCCTGGCAAGCCGCCTATCGGGTACGTGCCTCTCTGATTCGTTGTGAGGATGACGACCTTGGCTGACTTTTTATCTGTGTCTAGTTTCGGCCCCCGTGCAAGCTTGAAGTTTTCCTGGTCCTTTGTCGCCTGGGCCAAGGAGTCCGAGAACCACGAAGCCTGGAAGGAGATTATGAAGAAGCACAACCTGCTCAATGACCCGTTCGAGGACCCCGAGGGCCAGTTCATGTTCACGGACGTCGCTGTGGTGCCAGATGCCTACGGCCGCCTTAGCCCGAACAAGGCCCGCGTGATGGGTTGGAACGGATTCGTTGACACGGCGGAGGGCATCTTTGCGACGTACCTCGAGTTTGGCAAGCTTGGTATGCTGCCGCCGATGGCTGTGGAAGAAGCTCGACCGTTGATCTAAGAGAGGGTGGGGGGGAGCTGTCGATTGTGACGCAGCTCGAGGGGTATATTAGTGTGCGAAGCAGAAAAAAGGATGGAGTGAGTTGATGAGCACGGAAAAGTTTCAATTGGTACTATTTAGTGTGGGAATGGTATTCATGAATGCTTGCTTTTTGTTAACTTCGCTATGGGGAAACGGTCACAGAATGTTGAATCTGATAAGACACCCCCAACGGTCTTCGAACATATTGGAGAAATCTCAACTAAGTTTGATTAAACATGGTTATGTTCTATTCAACTCAATTATGTTATGAATGTGACCGGAGGGGCAATGAGAGATAATACAGGCCATGACAGAATGCAACCTAGGGCCTGCAAGACATGAACCCATGTCTAGACCGGGTTGGTTGGGACGGCGCCCGCGAGAACTTGCAAATTGAAGAGAACTCCGAAGGAGATGGAAGCAACTCCTGTGGAGCTCGCCGGCGTCGAAGGGGTGCCAGATGAAGTAGGGGATGGAGTGATGGACGGAGTGGTGGACGGAGTGGTGCACGGATCAGGGAAGGCTAGACCGATGGACGGATCGTAGACTCCCCTTGTATCGGAATTTAACGTAGGCGAGACGACAACAGAAGAGGATGACGACGACGGAGTGAGAGTGGTGAGAGAGCTGGTCAAAGAGCTGGAAGTTGAAATTAGGACGGCTGAGGAGTTGCTTGGTAGGATAGAAGCCGAGATTGTGGGCACACTGGTCGAGGAGAGAGAGAGAGCAAGGAGACGCTGCTGCTGCTGCTGATGCCGAGAGTTCTGCTGATGCTGAGAAGGCTCGTGGCCAGGCTACTCAGAGATGTGCTGCTCGAAGATGAAGTTGCCGAGCTGCTGGTCAAGGAACTTCCCGGAAAGCTGGCCGAAGAGGTTCCAGAGCTGACCGTTGAAGAGCTTCCTAGACTGCCGGTGGACGAGCTAGTGCTACTAGCAGATGCCGTGCTGCTGGTGTCTGCGGTAGACGAGCTGGAGCTATTTGTGGTGGGTGTAGCGACGGTGCTTCCACCAGAGTTTGAACTGCTTGAACTTGAGGAAGTAATACTGTCTGTGCTAGATGAAGCCGTGTCGGTGCTAGAGGATGAAGAGCTTGTTGTTGTCGGTGCGTCGGTAGATGAAGACGAGGTAGAAGAGGATGTTGTTAGGATTAAGGTAGTAGAAGAATCAGTTGAAGTAGAAGAGTCGGTAGAAGTGGGGGAGGTAGAAGAGGGCGTCGTAAGAGTAGGCATGGTTAAGTATGATGAAGAAGACGAAGTTGAAGTGTGACCCGAATGCTCGGTATCACACAGCAAGACAGAACCGTTGAGTAATGTATGTCGAGGTACAAGCATAGCTACTTTCAACGGGCCGTTTTCAAAACCAGTAGAAAGAAGTGGAGTGATGATTTCTCAAGCTTTCGATCAATTACAGCTCATTTGAAAAGATCAGGACACTTAAAATTATCGGATGAGATGATGGAGATCAACTTGAGCAATGGAGGGAGCCGTCACGTTTGAGGATTTGTGAGAGTTCTACGGCCCGGGCGACATGTGGTTTTGTCCCTCTTCGGCCCGGTGATTACATGAAATACAGACACAGGCTTCGGTATCAGAAGCGTTTTCTCTAATGAAATCATTTTGTTGCGTTCCTCGGCTGATGGGTGGCGAGACAGCCGTCGGGAAGCCGACATTTGGTTTTACGTGCCAGCGAAGTTCTAGGCCAATGGCCAACGTCATGATACAGAATACTAACGCGCACCAGAGAGATCCAACTATGGATCTTCAGAGTTGCTGAGGGATAGGTCTATAAAGAAGAATGCTCGCTTGCTAGATACCTACTTAAGCTTAAAGGATCAAGGCCCATTCCAAGTACGAGTCTTAAAACCCGACATAAACCAAAGTGGATGTAGCAAATACAGGCAGCAAAACGAGAACTGACCGCCGCAAACGAATAGCCATATTGAAACGGCACAAGAATAATGAAGCTTTCGTTCGGACTAGCATTCCAATCCTAGCCTTCTTTCATCCCGCGGGGCCGGATCAAGGGGGCCGGAGGCGAACGGTCGGGAGACCCGCTTTTCCCGGTGTGAGGGGCGGAGGCGGCATTTCCCCGACCGGTGACTAGTCCGAGGGAGCACTGCGAACTGAACTCGTAACGAGTGAGTAGGGACATGTCGCCGTGAATCTAGGTCTAGAACAAAGCCTTGCATTCGAATGCTTTAGCTCATGATTTTTCGGTTCTCATGGCCTCGTAATCAAGTCGCGCCACGGACTTCAACTCAGAAATTTCGTCTGCAGAGTGATTATTCAGCGATGAGCCAATTTCTAAGGTCGAGCTTGAGCGAAAAGGAGACTGCTTGATATTATCCACCGGAAATACCCCATTCACTGTTATCCGGTGTTCCACGGATTACAAGGGGCAAATGTGACGTTTCTGCGTCTCAAGTGAGAGGAAGTACTATTTAATGATTTGAGATGAACCGTCCAAGTTGTCTCGAGTTTCGTGAAATAACCACAATATTCTACATTATCAGTCTATCATTCGTGTAACAAAAATGAGTTCATCGACGCAACACAAAGTTGGAATTTTCCCCGCCTCTGGGGGTATTGGCGGAGGCACTGCAAAGCACATTCTCCAGCGTCTTTCTCCATCAAACCTGATCCTCATCGCTAGAAACCCCAACAGCCTTTCGCATGCACGAGAGCTGGGAGCAGGGTAATTCCTAACTTTACCTACCGTGGAGTTGACTACTCGAAGCCGTGGGCTTCGGCCTTTGAGGCGTTTCGTAGGGGTGAGACGGCTGCTGCGTCACCGTTGCTGAGTGAGCTTTTGGGAAGAGAGCCGGAGGGTTTCAAAACCACCGTGATGAACTCTCTCAAAGCCTAGATTAAGAGTTGAGTAGCCTAACAAACAAGCTGGTTTCTTTCGTATGCATTCATGCGCCTAGTCACATCATCGTGATTTTAGTCAAGGTGAAGGTTGGGGGTGATTAGCGATCGAATTCGCGCTTAGAGATGAAGTAACCTATAGCTCAATTGTCATGCTGCTACACTTTCCTAGCGTATGACGCATCAAAGAGATTGCAACGACTATCGATCACATTTGAATCTGTCATAGATACTCCGTCCCCGACAACACCACCCAAGTTTCCCAGGTCCATCGCCCCAGGCTTGCCAGAAAATTGCGTCCACGCAGGCACTCCAGGTCCATTGGCGGGGTTCTTGGCAAAGTTAGCCCATGCCGTCTGCATGAACTTGCTCAAGGCAAGAGCTTGGTCAGGTGTTGCCGGCGGTGGCGGGAGATTGTTAAAGACGAAGCTGATCTCAGAGCCGTGTACCGGGCGAGACAAGATACCTCCGGGTGTTGGCGGGAACGAGGTGGAGTTGAAGAGATATCTCCAAGTTGGCACCCCGGCTTGGGCCGAAAGACGAGCTTCATGCGCAATGCTGCAGCTCCAATCCAAGTCCGTAGCGAATTGTGTAATTGCATCCTTTGGAGTTGAGAAAGGCATCCCGGCTCCGACTGGATATCCGGCGGTCACAGCTTTTTGCAACGCATCGTCGCCAGGAAATGTTGCTGCGACAAAGGCATCCAAAGCGGTCGGTGGCTGACCCATCGTGAAGATTTCGGCTTCTCTGAGGTTCGTTCCTATCATCATAGGTATCTTGGAAACCTTGCCGGAAGCCCGTGTAGCATCAGGTGAGGTCGGTACGTTTGCATCTCCGTCGGCTACAGGTGGGAAGTTGAAAGGACCTTTAGAGAGTACGGACACAAGGGCGTCGACCGGAGCGGCTCTAACGCAATCAAGCGGCTTCTGGCTGCCGCAATTGAGCGAAGCTGCAAGAGTTTGAAATGGGGTCGTCATGTTCGGTCTGCCCAAGAGGCCGGTCATGAGTCCGACGATATCTCCGCCTGCTTGGGGTCCAGTCACGAGATATGCGGTTCCAGACTCGGTGATCACCGCACGGAACGGGGGCTGGGCACCGCTTGTGAGTAGTAAGAGGTCGACTGATGAGCCACCAGCTGACTCCCCGAATAAAGTCACCTTATTTGGGTCACCACCGAAGGCTTTGATGTTACGCTGAACCCATTGAAGCGCTAGTTTCTGGTCCATAAGACCGACGTTGCGCATTTGTGGAGGTATGCCCTCGACATCGCCTGGGAATCCGAAGACTGCAGTCAAAATAATCATCAACGCCCACCTCCAAAGGCATAAGGGTGCTCTCTCTCATCAACAATGGTTACTTACCACTCGTCCGGTAGTTTGGCGTCACGACGATCACGTCTTGATTCTGTGCAAAGCTCGAGCCATCGAACATCGGTGTGTTGGCAGAACCAAATTGAAAGCCCCCGCCATAGTACCATACCATGACAGTTCTTCCTTCGGCGGGTGGAGGAGAAGAAGGTGCGTAGACATTGACGAACAAGCAGTCTTCGCTTTCAGGACCGGACGGCATCATGGCAGCAATCGCAGCTTTTGAAAGTCAATGCCATGATCAACCGGAGTAAAGCCCCAGACGAGCCCCGATGTGTGTTAGGGGACGTTCACTCACCAGGTATAGCCTGAATACAGGATGGAGCGAAGGCTGTCGCGTTCATTACGTCGTTATGAGGCGCCATCGAAGCAGGCACCGGTGGTGCAAAGCGTTGTGGTGGTGCCGCATACCGAATGCCCAAGAACTTGTTGACGCCATTCGCTGTCAAACCAGAGTATGGTCCATCGTCCAGCTTGACTTGTACTGGTTGTTGCGCATTCACAAGTGTAAGTAAAGTAAGCAAAGTAATGCCGATAGTCGTCGATCGAGGAGACCAGCCCCTTCGTGAGAACTCCATGGTTGGCTTAATAGTACGTTACACGGCCGGAATTACGAGATTAAAAGAGAGTTTATTGTTGTCAATGTTTGTTTCAATCTCGCAGTCTAGCGACATTTCACGAGATCTGGGTTTAGTTCCTTTATGTCTTCGACCCTCAACAGGTTTTAACTTGGTTTTCTCGGGTTTTCCGTAGCCTGTCCATGTTCCAACTATGTACTATACGCAACTTGGCACTATCGTAAAGTAGTAGATTATTTTCCTTGAGACTCAGGCGTTTGGAGAGAAAATAAGCTCGGTGGAGAAGCCGCAAGGAAGACCCGAAAGCTTGGATTCGGCCCATTATTTAATTGGAGAGAATCGACGGACGAAACCTCAAGTGGCACGGTGAGCGGGTGTACCGGTGGGATGAACAAACTTGTTGATATTCACAGGAAGTCTATTCGTCGCGTCCACCCCGCACGTGTCGTTTCACACCTTTGCCAGGTGGACGGCCGTCAAAATGGGTAATGGCGAACGACAGCTATAATGCGTTGTGCTACATTTCACTAGCAATGCCCAGAGGCTGAAATGATGGCTAAACGGAAGACCCGGCTCTTACAAGACTCATGGTAAGCATTGGGTAATGAAACATATTCAGCCACAAGAAACGAGGAATGATTCTGAGGAGTCGAAACGGGAAGGAGAGCTCCGAGAGCCCCATAGGTAAACCGAGGTGTTTGCGTCTATTGAATGAATGGGGACTTCCCTCGCGCAAACATCACATGCGGGTGTGACTAGATTTCGGGATTGTGTGAATAGTCTTAATTTCACAGAGAGAAGCTCCATCAGTTTGTCATTCCTCTTTATTTCGCTTGTCCGGCGCCCAGAACACCACTTACTGTCGCACGAACCGGCGCCGAAACAGTCCCACTTGTATTGCCGGACGCGGCTTTGGCCGACCCGCTTTTTCGGCCGGCCGACCGCGGGCTTGTCTAAGGGCTATGCGCTTGTCCTCAGGTGCTATGAGTGATGAAGCAGCTGGTGCAATGAGGACCAGTGAAACGACAAAGTGATTTTGTTAAACCATGGTATCTCTGGTGCGTACAAACGATCTCGAGAGCTTGCCTTCACTCAATGCCGCGATATACCATGGTGCAACTTTCATTCCTTCGTCTACATCCTGATTAGAGATTTATTAGAGAAGTTCAATAGCGCGAAATGATCTTTCGGTATTTAAAGATTGGCACAGGATTCCAACATCACTGAGCGAGGGCCGGTGGTACGTACCTCGACCAACCTTCTCAGTCAAAGGTCCAGCCACGAACTTCAATGTGTGATGGGTATTAAGAGAATAGTGAAAAACAAGGCTTTGCTTATGTCCAAATTATGACAAGTCGAATAGTTCACGGATTGAAACAATCCTCCCTTACCTCGCTCCGACCCAATCCTTGGGCCACGCCGCCGCCATGCAGCCGCCCTGCAGCAGCCGCCGACGGCGAGGGGGTCAGCTCAAGGGTGTGGCTTACGCAAGTTTGAGACCATCCTTGATATGGACATTTCAAGATCAGGCTGAGCTCTACGAAATCCTACTTCCACATTTGATAGGTTCTCGTACGAGGATGTCGCAGCCGAGTTTTCAGCTGTTATTTGCCAAGGTCCATATCTTACGATAATGTCATATATTTGACATCCGATTGGTACTTCGCAGTATCAGGCAGTCATTTTCAAGTCTATTAGCCTGCAGACCCTCGCTTCCTACGTTCATGATATAGACGTCAAAATTCCTCTTTGCGCCCGTGAAGGCCTCCACAAACTGTTTCTGTTGGCCCTGCAACATTGACCTTAGCCTTCTTTTCCAAGGAAACCTTTTTCGCTTGCAACACCATGTCAAGTATGAAAAAGCAGGATCTGTAGCAAGGGCTTTACGTCGAGAAGGCCAGTATCGTGGAAGCTAGGATCGAGTATGTCAGCACCAAGGATGCCCCAGAACGGAAACCGGAGTTAGAGTAAGTACAGTTGCGCTTTTGCTGTTTAAGTCTATGGAATTAAACAGTCTTCTAGTATCGTTGTTGTCCCGGGTTTTGGTGCAAACCCTCTCAAATGTTGGGCTTGGGATTCGGAGAAGGGAGACGGTAGCTATGACGTTCGAAGTCAACAGAAAGACGAGAAGTTCAACTGGATCACAAGTCCGGATGGATTATCGGAAAAGTTCCCGGGCGCGCGAATTTTACGCTACGGTTTTGCCTCAGCGTGGCAAGGTACCTGCCAGATCGAGAATTACTTTGACAGCATCGTCCAAGGACTGCTCATTTTGCTCCGAAAGCACAGGAAAGTTAGTAAAATATACTTTAAATCAGCGCGTAATGAGTAGTCACTTATTATTACATAAACAGGAATACAATGAGAAGGGTCGACCCATCGTTTTCATCGGTCACAGCATGGGAGGACTTGTCATTGCCAAAGTGAGTGTAGCGGTTATATGTCAGACTTCCCAGCCAAATCATGCATTCTGACAGAGCTCTGCAGGCATTGACGGAGATGGACAGACTTCGTGATGACTTCGGAGAACTTCTGCCTTGCGTCACAGGCTGCGCTTTATTTGGAACACCCTTTTTTGGCACTGGAATGGCTTCATTCTTCTCTCGCGTGGTCGAGATGATGAGAGAGCAGGGCCTCAAAGTGAGTGGAGCATTCTGGGGGATGATGAAACCCGACAGCGATTTTCTTCAGACATTGCGCCGTGAAATCACACACTTGGTCAAGCGAACCAGTCCCCCTATCGACATGAGGTGTATCTACGAGTTGCTCCCGGTCGAAAAGACAGATTACTTTCCTGAACGAGGATCCAAAAGCAACGAGTCCAAGTCAGTTCACGAATCGGATCCATCCTATCTATCTTTCGTAAAGGGGCTCGATGAGACGAAGTTGTGGGAATTGAAGGAATGGTATGAATCATGTCTTAAGGTACGATATGAACGAAGAAAATTTCCAATGGGATTCCAAATTGACCACTTATCAGAACGATAACTACTGTTTCGTCACCAAAGCGTCTGCAACCATGGATTATATGCCAGGTGTGGGACTGCAGTGCAATCATCGTGGTCTGGTGACATTCGAACATAAAGACACTCAGAAGTACGGTCTTGTGCTGGAAGAGCTGGAAAGGCTCGTTAGTACAGCAGTAAATGCCTGCAGGAAAAGACTGCAAGCCTCAAGCCAACATAGCATGTCGCCTCAGGCTGTGGATGCCCTGAGAAATATGCTCGATTCTGGCCTTAAGCATGATCATGATTCTATCGTGAAAAATCAGAAGGGGGAGAAGTCCTGGGTTTTACAAGACAAACGTTATATTGAATGGGAGTCTCTTGAATCAACCAGCTCATTCTTCTGGATTCAGGGGCGACCTGGAGTGGGAAAGACATCGGCCACTTTGTCCGCCATCGCGAGTATACGCCATAAGATCGAGAAGAGCCTCAACCCAGGGAACGCTGGCCTCACACCGCTCTTGGCTTATTTTCTATGCGACTCGTCCAGGAACGGTTCATCTGCGATTGAGCTACTCAAGTCGCTTGTGCTTCAACTCATCAGCCAAAATCCGCTTCTGGCTGATCACGGCAAGCATCTTCTGAGAAAGAGCCAATACCATAGGAGTATCTACCCCGCCGATGAGCTTTCGGGCGACGATACTATGGCCACCATGAGTCTGCCCAATCTTTGGCGTTGTTTCACAGATATCATCGCCGACGATTCTATTGGCGACATTTACGTCGTCATCAACAACATCCATTTGTTGAAACATGACGAGGATTCTGACTCGCTTATCGAATCCATCTACCATAGCATTATCGCACCAAGCAACGACCAGGATCTAACCGGGATTCGGAGCAATCGCCGATGGCTAATTACGCGCACAGAAGGTGCGGATGGTCGTCGTTTCGAAAAGCTGATTGATACTGGGATCTCGTATGTTGCTGATCTATCCACCAGTGAATTCGCCGAGAAGGTCAAAAACTCTTTGAAGTACTACGTACAGAGAAAGGTTGTCAACCTACATCAGACCAAATACTACGAACCTGACCAAAGGTACATGATAGAGGACATGATGATCGACCATGCCGACAATACACATTGGATTGATATTCAGTGTATTCGACTGGAGGAGTTGGAGCAGCAGAGCAGTACGGAGACCATAACGAAGACCTTGGGACTCACAAATGCTTCGAGCTTGGAGAAACTAGTGCGCCATTGCTGGTTGACGGTGAGCACCCTATGATCTTAATTCAAGGTTCAGCATCGATTGACCCGCGTAAATAGGTCCTCGAGCGGAACCCACAACTCACACTTTCCCTCGCGGAGATTCTCAGGGCACTGGTCTTGGCTTTCCGAAGTCCATCTGTCGAAGAGCTTTGTATTCTGTCTGGTATCAAAGACGAGAGTAAGGTGATTCTTCTGATTGACCAGTGCGCGCCAATGATACGTCTAGATCGCCAGGAAAAAGGCATTACGTTTGTCAAGTTTGAGAATGCCACCCTCAAGAATCAGCTTCTCTTGAAATCAGATGAGCTTCTAGGCTTGTCAGGAGTTTCTGTTGACGAGAAGTCAAGAGCGGAAACAAAACGTTACCATGGTGTCCTTGCTTGGAGGTGCTTTTCTTACATGCAAAAGGCTCTCAGCCCCGCAGTAGCTGGGGTGAACCGATCAATGTTCGTCGGATCGTCATATCCTTTGGACTTTTGGATGGACCATGCCATACGGGGCAAGTCGGAACTTTCGGAAGATCTCGCTCGCCACTTACATGTCTTCTGGGAGAGAGTGTCACCTCTAAGGAATGCCTGGCTAGCATTGTCTTTACCAACTGCGCAATCCTTTGAGCACGGCATTTCCACTGAAGGTATGACGGCGCTGCATGCAGCTGCAGCATACGGATTTGACAGGCTCGTATCGAGCTTGATCACGAATGGACACCAGCATGAAGTGGATTGTGCCAATCTAGATGGATACACTCCGGTAAGTGATACGCAACTTTTCTAGTGTCTTGACCACAGCAAAGCATTTACTAACTATCGCGTAAGCTCCATATTGCCGCTGTCTTCAATCATACTGAGACGATCAAAGTACTCCTCAATGATAGCGGGGAAGACGCCGTTAACAAGCATATGAAACTTCTTGGGACTCCTCTTCATTTGTCTGCGATCCAAGGTCATCTTGCGACTTTGAAGCTTCTTTTGAGCAGAGGAGCAAATCCAAATGCTTTGAGCGAGACATATGGCCCAGTCATCAATGCTGCTATTAAATCCGGGCGCAGCGAAGCAGTGCAAGAGCTACTTGGGCATAAAAACATCGACCTGGATGCATCCAATCCCGATGGCTCACCGCCTCTTGCACTCGCGGCGGGCTTGTCTCCAGAGGATGTGTTCAAACAGATACTACTTGGAGGCAAGGCGAAATGGACAGCGCAACATCACAGACAAGCCTTGGTACAAGCATGCCGTAACAACAAGCCGGGAAATATCAGAGCTCTTCTTGAACACACAAGAACCTCTTTCAATGACGATACTCTAGCATCTGCAGTGCTCACTGCTGCCATTGAGAACAATTGGGATTGCGTTTTAGCGATTTCCCGACCAGACTTAGGCGGCAGCAATGTTTTCTATCTGGCAGCAGTGACCCTACGCGATGGGCCGGCATCCACTACCGTGCTCAAGGAGACATGGAGGGCTTCGCACGCAAGTATTGCGAAAGAAGTGCTCAATGAAGCGCTTTATCAGGCTACAGACAACCAGAAGGTCGATACTGTAGCATGGCTTCTCGACCATTGCAAAGCTGATGCTAATGCCACGGACTATCGTCCTAGCATTTTGAATTCCGTTCGCTCCACAGCCATTCCGACCTTTGGAAATACCTTGGCCGCCGCGGCCTGGGACGGCACCATCGAGATTGTGAGGACTTTAATTAAGCACGGTGCTCATATTGACAGTCCAACTGGATGCCCATTGCAGCTAGCGGCCAAAGAAGGCCATGCTGAGGTAGTCAGGCATCTCCTTAGCCACGGGGCCAAGGTCGACAGAATTCCTGAAGAGGAGGACAATTATAGGGGGTCCGACTTCCAGGAAGGCACTGCCTTACAAGCGGCCTGCGAGGCAGGGAAAACTGAAGTCGTGAGGGTTCTCCTACAGTGGAAGGCAAACCCCAACCTTGGGCGAGGACCATATAATAGTCCTATTCTTGCCACAACAGCAAGGAATCGATCTGAAATTCTGAAGCTTCTAATCGATGCTCCGGGGATTGATGTCAACGTAAAGGGGGCCAAGAATTCGTCAACACCACTGATGAATGCAGCTTTCCTCATGACCTACGAAGACACAGAGCTTTTACTCAACGCCGGCGCCGACGTCAATCAGTGGGGTCCTCACGACGAGACTGCTCTCATACGTGCAGCACGGAAAGGAGACGCCAGAATCCTGCGTCTCATTATATCTCGTGGAGCTAATATCCTGCATGCTGGACAAGATGAACAAACGGCTCTTGATATAGCTGCGGGTCAAGCAAACGTCGAATGCTTACAAGTACTCGCAGAGAGCGTGTCTCCGCTATTCCGCGGGCTCAAGAGGGCGATTGCAAACGGGAGTACCTTCGCGCGAGATCTTGTAGCTCGGCCGGAGGACGACCATGATATTGTAGACATGACCACCGTCAATCAACTACGAGAGAAAATCGTAGGCCTAGAGAGAGACCTCAAAGACCTCAATCGCATGCGAAAGGGGTGGAATGGCATGATGTCACAGGTACAAGAAGCGGAGGAGAGTACGGCAAGCTACAAGCACCAAATGGATCAAATGAGAAGTGAGAGAATCGAAGAAAGCGCCCGAATTGAGAAAGAAAGAGGCGAATACGAGGCTGCGAGATACGGTTTCGCCAAACTGCAGGAGGAGAAGGATGCTCTCAAGCAGAATGTTGCAGCTGCCAAGCTAAGTCTAGAGACGCAGGAAAGAGAGTTCAGCATGAGTTTGCAGCAGAAGCAAAAAGAGATGGAGGGAATCTATTCTCTGTGGACAGACACTGAAGCGCGGCGAAAGAGTGCCGCAGATGAAGCCGTGGAGGTTCGACGACAGCTTCGAGTCACCGAAGACGAAGCCGATAGGATACAGCAAGCCATGTCGGACCAGATCGAATCTTTGCAGAGGGAGCTAGAATTCTCCAAACAACAGGCAGATGGAAAAGCAACTCCATCAGGTGGCAGGGATGACGAAAGCTTCATAGAAGGAGACGACTCCGTGATGAACCAGAATGCTGGTAGCTCGCTGAGTGTCAGCAGCGCTCAAGACGCCACAAGCGACACTGGTACAGGCAAAAGTGCAGCCAAGAGATTCAAAGATATGAGACACAACTCCACGCAATTTATGGCCGATTTTGTCTCGAAGAAGAGAGGGAGCCCCAAGCCGGATGGCCAGAAGTAGAGCTTGAATTTGGAGAAGGAATGGAGGGAGTTCTTCTCATTATCGATACGTGTTGCCTTCTAGTTGTCTAGTTTCTTATCATTTCTTGAAATTTGAGATCTTTAACCTCGGCGTGACCATGAAAGAGTGCATTCCATGAATATCTCTCTGGAGTTGGGTTTGCCTGAGAGGCACGTCAGGACTCATTTTCTCGTCGTTGAGTGAACCAGGGTCAGCAAGTCGGCTAATTCCAGCGACGCATTTGCTACTAGCATGAACCATTACAATAAGTTTTGATGATTTTGAATAAATCGGGTTCCCTTAGTTATCCTCCATCACTTTGCCAGGAAGGGTCGATCTGTTTCAATCTCTTCTTCCCCTCGCGCTTCGTGATTATCCAGTTCCAGACATACAAGTAGACGAATGTGACTATGAGCAGGCTAGCAGCAACTAGGGGGCCAAGAATAGAAAAGATGGTGAAGTTGTAAGAAACCGACTTGAACGTCGTGTTGTTCTGAAGATCCGTCGCAGAGCCTACCTGCATAGCCGTAAGAACGATAGCGATGTAGACGGTAGAGCTGGCCAATATCGTGAAATTATCGCTGAGGAAGGTGCCATACTGATTCCACCGGGGCATATACCCGTGCAGAGGGGTCTTCGAGAAGAAGTAGATCTTGTTGAGCCGACTGAGACGAAGCTCTCCGTAATAGAAGCGCTTATCAATGCATCGATAGGCATCCCCTTTGTCTAAGAGCTCTTGAACTAGCAGCTTCCATGACTTCCACTGCACCTCTTGCGGAAGGAGATTGTTCGCCTTGGCGATGCTGAAGTCGCTTTCGTGTACCACGAGAGCCACATATGAGAAGAGAAATCCGAGAGCGCGTCGGCGTATGAGGTCGCAAGTGCAGGAAGGGCTAGATATAGAAGTTACATGCTCTGTTGAATGAGGAAGGTATTCTTCCCAAAACCGTGGCTCGAGCAAATAGCGTGGCAGCGGTTTCATGAAGATTCGACCTCTACCCCATACAAGATGTAGATCCATCTGCTCAGTTACCATGATCTCGCGAGCAAGAATAAGTTGAGAATGGAGAGGACGTGGTGGCATAGGGCGTCCCGCGAACCACAAGGAATCAAAGACATTTGTGAGTCGGTCGAGGTTCAGTTCCAGACTCAGCCACCTCAACACGTCTCGAGCAGGATCACTCAAATCCCCCACCGAGTCTCGCTCTGATGCTGGTAGCAATCCACATAGAGTCTCTCTCGGGTTCTGCAGAGAGGAACTGTCATCTTTCAACACCGTCTCCAAGACCCGCTGCGAGAATGGAGCCGACTGTGAATATTTCGTCAATAAAGGAGCGCTGTAAGGTAGATGACTCTACCGGTATCTCACCTGTCCTGTCAATAGTGGCATTTCTAACGGAACTGCTTAGCGCTCAGTGCTCAGTGACTCAACTTGAATCAGTCTTCGAGGAATGATTGCAAATTATGCTTCTCCGCCGGGTGGGACTGAACTTCAGCCGGCGAGCAGGCTGGGTTCGAATGTGATGTGCTGACAGAGCTGGGGTTTGATTCAGCCAATAATTGGCTCAGCTGTGGCTAAACGCGGCACGATGAAGGGCTTGCCAAGGTAGCCTGCAGAGAACTGGCGACACTTCTGCAGCCTTTTGCCAGCGACTCGCCTCAGATACGAGAGAGGCGTTCAGGCGGGAGTTGGCGTAGCTGTGCAAACGACCTTGCATGTATTGCCTGGGGTCCCCGAGATATCATTGACTTTGATCGGGGACAAGTAGCATTTGCGAACAAGCGACAGCCTGCACACCTTGTCCTTTTCTCAATTATCCAGACAGCAGGCACTAGCTGTTGGTTCAGTTTCAGCGAGAGTCGAGTCCTCTGTGCAGCACCAAGTAGGTACCTGAAATTCCCCCAGTGCTTGCTTACTTCTGGCTTGACGCGGTTAGCTTCACCGTACAGGCGCCTGTTTCCGTCACCCTTGCGTGAACAGCTTACTCGCGATTAGCACACACGCAAGATTCTTGCGCTATTCCTCTGATATTCCACAAGTTTGGTAGTCGGACTATTCACAGACTCAGAGTATGGCGTAGATAGATACTGTGGTGCTATGGTAGTCTCATTTACACTGATGTCGTGACTGAAGGCCGCACCTGGAGAAGACCGCGAAGCTGCCCCTCCCCCCACCGCCGTCAATATTTCATTCAGAAGGAACTTGGCTCATTTCCATTATTCCTCTCAGTGCCTAACAAGGTAAAATGCCGATGTTATGTATGCCACGTGCATAGCTTCCAATCGTGAGCAGTGTCGAGATGATGTCTTTTTAAGTGCAATTGTCGGGGCTGTTCCAGTCCTTGACCCCGCCCTCACTTCCGGTGGGCTGCACTGCCCCTTCCGGCCGGTCGGCCCCTCCAGCCCGGCCACCAACCCCGCCTTTTTGCGACCTCAGGATGCTGTAGGAAAATCAATTGGTCAACGAGGCCAGTGGAAAGAGCTTCACTCCAGCTTCATTCTCCAAGACCAGCGCGTCGCTTGAGAAAAGTAGTCAACATACTTAACTTATTTCAATTTCTAGGCTCTTGGATAATCGATATGAGCGATCCAAGGTCTTCCTGGCCGGGCTTTTGTTTGCCCACAGTTACGAGGTAGGTTAGTAGTATTGTTCAGATGGGACTGCAACAACATCCAGCTTCCCGGACTTGCTTCTATAAACGGCTCCAACGACTCGAACTACCGCATACAACCATATCTTACCTTAGGGGCCCATCGGAAAACTTGGGTTCCCGTCCGCTCTCCCATAGATAAGCCAACGAGCGCACCCATCACGGCCCGGCAGCTGATGACCACCGATAGTTTTGGATCCCGTTTCTTGACAGACGGAGCGGCCCCCGTAAGCGGCCGAACCCCACTTTGCCGTCCGATCATACCGGTGTTACGGTCGACGCGGTGGGTGCTCAGCTATTTGTATAGGCTCGTCTCAATCCAAAGACTCGCCTCAAGCATCTCAGCCGTCTTAGAAACATGTCAAGGCGCTATGTATAACCTCATCATGAGGGCAGGTCTGTTATACTAATGTCCACCTTAGACAGGCGAGGAGTCAACAAACTTCTTGCGCAATGTCATCGCCCTCCATAATGCGTACTAATACTGAACCATCTTTGAATCGAGTGCACGGAGCGGGTGATATTGGCGCTCGTAGACAGCATGGTACTACCTTGTTGCATTTAACTTTGCTCATTATCGGGGCATTCATGAGTTCTCAGCAATACTAGCTTAAGATGGGGATTGATTGGATGAGACTACCCGCTGTTCCCATCGTAGTCTGTGAAGAGATGAATCTGGCAAATTAAGAGCATTGCGCGACTTTGCTTTCTCCTAGCGAAGAGGGACACGGACGAAGGCGTTGCACATCAAGGCTTATTGCCGTTCTTTCACGTTGGTGTCGGAATAAAGGGTGTAAGCTGACCACATTATCTCCGAGTGGATTGCCCTACGCCAAGGCCGCCAACCAAAGCTCATCGGTTCTTTTAAACTTCACCAGTCCGCCAAGGACCGACTATAACTCCGCCAAGTAACGCTCAGTAGAAAATTGCAGGCTGTGCTCTGGTGAGCAGCGAGTCGACAATGGGTTTAGCCTCACATGACCGGAACCCTGCTAACTCATCGCAGATGGAAAACTCACCATAGTTCCGGTATTTGTTCTACAAGACAGACTGCTACAATGAAGGATTCATGATCTGGCCTCCTCAGCCACCAATTTTCGCGTTTGTCACAGCATGCGCAATGAGGACCTGGACGGTGATGGTCAAAACTTGGCAGACACTATGACGACGCTTTCAAGTTGTGCGTCCAATGCTGGATACATGCTTCTCGGGGTGATGCTTTGCACACTTCAAAAAACCACTGTTGCAAAGGTCTTGGCATCATGATATATAAAAGAACACTGTCTAGCCGGTGTAATTCATTGCTTCAATACAGCAGATACAAACACGGCAGTCAAACGTTCTTCAGACATGATGATGAAGCTTCTTTCTTTCGCCTTCTTTCTACCCCTCAGTGGCAGCGCGGCTGGAAGTCCTCTCAACGATACAGCATATGACTATGTTGTAGTTGGCTCAGGACCTGGAGGTGGCACTCTGGCGTAAGGATATCGCCTCCGACTACGCTCTTAATGCTAACATTTCTCAGCGCAAGCCTTGCACGCGAGAGCCATTCCGTCTTTCTCATTGAAGCTGGAGGCAATATGGGTGATGATCCTCTTCAACAAATTCCCGGCTTGTGAGTTTCCAGACCGCTCGATATACAAAGCCATGTGCTTATACTTCACAGAGCGGATGTCAACTCGGAGGACCCCGCCATGTCTTGGCAGTTTTTTGTGTCTCACTACCAGAATGAGACTCAAGCCCGTCGCGATCGTTACTTCACCTACCGTCTTTCAAATGGCACACTCTGGTACGGCATTGATGCCCCCGAGGATGCAACTCCGTAAGTCATGCACCAGACCGTTGCTTGGTAAGTCATTAACCACCGGTTCAGACTTGGCATATACTATCCCAGAGGAGCTACGGTTGGTGGTTCTGCTATAGCGAATGCTATGAATGTGGTTCTTCCACCCGACAGTGACTGGAACCACTTCGCCGAGGTTACAGGAGATGAGTCCTGGGGCCCTGAAAACATGAGATCAATGTTTATCGAGCTTGAGAGAAATACCTATACGCCTGAAGGGACGCCAGGGCATGGTTTTGATGGGTATATTTCGGTAAGAGGAATCCATCAACCGCCATGAATATATGACTGACAAGAAATAGACGAACAGGAACAACATTTCTTATGTTGTCGATCGTCCGGGCGTGCTTCGTGTGGTCCAGAATGCCATCTCCCAGACCGAGGGCATCGAAGCAACCGACTCCGAACAAGTCATCGAGCTAATGGAGAGAGACCTGAACCGCGCTGATAGCGACCGTTACGAAGTCCCGGGCTTGTACCAAATACCATTACATGTTGACGAGAGCCGCCGCAGAAGCAGCCCCTGGAATTACATCACGGATACTTTGGCTTCGAAACGCGAAGATGGAACGCAGCGATACCCGTTGACCTTGAGCACTCACAGTCTCGCGACTCGCATTCTGATGAAGAATGCTGATGCGGGTTTTAAAGCCTATGGAGTAGATTTCATGGTTGGAGAAGGTCTTTATGAGGCCGATCGACGATACGACCCCTCGGTCGAGCCCCAAGTGCGCACTGTCAGGGCTAAGAAGGAAGTCATCATCTCAGGCGGTGCATTCAACACCCCTCAGCTTCTCAAGCTCAGTGGAATCGGACCTCGAGAAGAGTTGGAGAGATTCGGCATCCCAGTTGTTGTTGATCTTCCTGCCGTGGTAAGCATCGGCCTCCTCATAGGACTTCTCTTCATGCTAATGAACCTCTTAGGGGGAGTTCCTGCAGGACAACTACGAGGCGGGCATCAACGTTCGGTCAAACGTCGTATGGGAGAATAGCCCCTTCGCACAATGCACGCCTGGTAGCCCCGAGACAGATCCCTGCCTTGCACAATGGGAAGCCGGCTATGGTGCATATGGCGAGGCCGCCGCCCCAATTTTCATGCTGCATCGTAGCAACCAATCCAGAAACGCAGACTGCGACCTCATCATCTTTGGTGCGGCCGGTGGTGTGTTCGACGGTCACTATCCCAGGTTCAGCGAAGTTGCATGGCCGCCTACATCCTTCTTCTGGGCCGTCGTGAAGATGCAAAACGGCAATCCGACAGGCACCGTGAGACTTCGATCGTCCAACCCCCGAGAGACCCCGGAGATCAACTTGAACTTCTATCAAGAAGACGCTGATGTCGACATTGCTGCTCTTTCCGAGGGCATTGAACATCTCATGTCCATCATGAACGTCACCGGAGAGCCGTATCAGCCCTTCCAGGTCATCGATCCTCCCGCGGATCGTTCACTTGAGCAACATATCCGAGATCACACTTGGAGCCATCACGCCGCCGGAAGCTGCAGAATGGGAAAGACAAATCTGGACAGTTGTGTTGATTCAAAGTTCCGAGTGCATGGTGTTCAGGGACTTAGAGTTGTCGATGGCTCAGTCTTCCCGAGAGTGCCCGGCGGGTTCCCTGTTGGTGCGACGTATGCTGCCAGTCGAAAGGCATTCCATGACATAGTCAGCAACTAAGGAAAGTAACAGTGTTGTTCATCTTGTCTGTTAAATCCGACTCGGACTGAGCGTTCATAACGATATGGCTATGGGTGTTCTTTTTGTTCTTTGTCACCGGAGAGATCGCGGAATGTCAATAGAGGATCGCCATAGGTAGTCGCACATACACATTTGGTAATTCGTATACAGTGTCTCACTCGTTTGAACAGTTCACCAGTGACTCTCTTATTATCTTGGATTCCATTGGTGATGTTTGATCCAACTCCAGCTCAGTGATTACGCAGTCACCTCGTTGCTAAGGATGGTATTGGTGTTAAAGTTATTGCTCTGAATGGAAATCATGCTTTATTAGACAAGAAGTTGATAATTGAGAAAAATGCAACTGCCATGGCGCTGAACGCAAGCTCCCGCGGTTGAGTACTGCTCAGAAGCTCCGTTCCATTATGACAGAATCAAGAAGTGAAATGGACCTGCCCCCTAGTCCAAAATAAGCCGATCCTTATTCGTTCGAAGGTAAACCAGCAGATGATTTAGTTGAGCTTGAGGCCCTCGTAGCGGTCAATCGTAGTGGTGATAGTTCCGGTGAGCATGCCGGCCTGTACCTGGAGGTCGGTGGCTCTGCTCTGCACGGCACCGATGAGGGCAAAGGCGACAGACTTGAGGCGTAAGAGGGTCAGCCAGACTTTTCCACATCTTTGAAGATTTTGGAGACTTCTTGATGGGGCAGACGGGAGAGGGGGAACTCACATCGACGACCTTTTCAACCTGTCTGAGGACGGCAGCAATGGGCGCTCCGATGAGGGGCACGGTCGAAAAGAGACCGGCCTTGCCGATGAGCACGTTGAGAAGCATCTGATGGATGCGCACGAACTCGCGGAACGCCTCAAAGATGGCGTCGGACTGGGGGCCGGCCGGAACGGGAGGCATGCCCTGCATTTGTGCGAGGGCCGTGGTGACGGTGCTGACAATGTCTACGAAGCCGGTGATGATTTTCTGCGGATGGGAAAGATAACGTTAGCTTCTGGAATCTTGACGAAGTTCCTATGCGGCAACAGACGGGGCCCGACTTACCGGGAAAGGACCCAGGCCGACGATGAGCAACGGCCCGCTGACGAGGTCAATCTTTTGCGCGGGGGCAATGAGGTCGTTGGACTTTTTGGTGACCATGTCGATGTTCTGGACCACTTGGGCTGGGGTCGTTTGGCCGAGGACGGAGTCGCTGCAAATTGCCAAGGCGGCGACGGCGAGCTTGAGGATGGAGAACTGCATGTTTGCTGATTTTAACTGAAGGGAGAAAGGGCTGCAAACATGGATGTTCAGCTTGGAAAAGATGGGCTGGGCTATGTCGAGAAGATGAGATGGTGATGAGAGCTGTGATGAGAATGGCGATAATGCCGGGAGATGAGTAGCTTCTTATATTTGGTTCTGGGTAATAACTCGATGCTTTAGATACATCTTCAACTTGAATTTCAATTAACTTCAGATCTTACGTGCCTCTCCTGCCGACTGAGATCTTGACGCGCTCATGGCTCACACTGCCGTTTTCATGCCAGCAAACTTGAGCACGAGGTTTGCCAAGCTCCTCCATTAGGAACGATCAGCAACTTCACGGATCTCTTCATCTTGCTGAAAACTTTTGATTCCAGGCTAATTCGGAGCAATTCTGGCAGGAAAAAGTCAAGAATCACGGGCTTGAGCGAAAGAGCTTCAATGATGAGCCATCATCAATTCGTTGCCAAGACACCTAGTACGTGTGTAATGAGAGACATTTAAGATCCGAGACAGCAACGGATCCAACTTTTTTAGCCCGAGAAACTTGTCTCCTAAACAGGCAACATCTCAAAGTTCTCCCTTCCGGATTCTTCAAAGTGGATATCTTACAGCAACCCAAATCAAAGGCCGGTACCGCGGCGGAGCGAGCATCTCGGGTATTCAATCTCCTGGTCCCAAGATCTGCAACGGTTTCACTCAAAGATTCCGACTGGCCTTCCTCCTAGTCCCGCAGAAGACCACAGAGATACCCGCTTCGGGGAACGTCTCGTAAGATGAACCCAAGTATGATCTAGATTAGCGCTTAGGCAGCGCGGCTAAGGCTTGCGAGAGGGACAACACGACGACGTAGGTGGCATCTTGGCAGTAGAAGCTCAACCTCTAAGAGCCGGAGCCAGCCCACTTTCGGCGACTGTAAAAACTATGCTTGATGTAAGCATAAGCATTCCCGAACGGTTGTCGTACTCTGGTGTTTGGCATCCGACACTGGCGTGGGCTAGGGCGGAAGCTTGACTAGATCCCGAGATAAAGGTTGGTTGGAATGCGGGACTGGCCGCCGTCAGTCAAGTACCTCCCACTTCGACCTCTGTCGTCTACCGTGTCGCCAGCGCGCATGCTCAAGCATTCGAAAGACGGCAGACGGAGATGCGAGACATAGAGGAAGCCTGCTACGACTCTGTTAAGAGATGTATTCATTCGATGCTACACCGGGCGGTCGAATTAGTATCAGCCTACTTCATCTCTCCCCTTGTCCCGTTCCTGAAATGGCCCGCCACAGGTCTCAGGGTCTTCAACACCGACCAGAACGGACGTATACTAGCTTAAACCCGATTTACCGCTTCAGGCTTAACGGTGTTTCTCCCTACGAGATGTTAGATCTCGGGCTGGAGACGTGCCGGGCAGTTAGGGGCATTCCAAGAGGCCGCTTGGCTGAGTCCCTCCGAGTCCAGGGCGGTGGGGAGTGAGACACGCTGTGGAGCCCGCGGGTGCTGATCTTCCCGATGATTTGCACATCTCGACAACGGCGTGTTGCTACAATCTGAAGTCGAGGTAGGGAAACATCAACGTTTGAGAGTGTTTGTTGCGCGATTTGATTTTACGGTGTGTGTTTTTTTGTCCCGAGATGAACGATGTCTAGTGTTGGCTTGCATGCGGTCACCGTGCGAAGTAGAAGGGTGAAACGGATCCTGACCGCGGGTAAATTAACCTCCTCTGAGAAACGGTGTCCCTTTCGAGTCTCTGGCGGCTAGTGGCCAAGAGAAAAGGGAAAAAGTAGTGAAATTGTGGCTAGTTAACGCCGAATCCCAAAGCTGCTAGATACTTGTCCAAGTACTCTCCCGTGGTGACGGCGTTACCGGAGTCGGACCCATACATCCGGGTTATCCCGCTACCGAACTCCCGAGAAACGACCCCGCTTCTCCGGGCACTGAACGGAGGTGCGGAGACTGCTCCGCATATTCTACCTAGCAGACGAAAAACCGGGGAACCCATTTCCCCAGACTTTCACACTCCCCTGCCACCATTTCCAACTCAAAAAATGACGTCCAATCCTACTACACTACACCACACCACCAGCCCCTCCCGCAATTGACAACCACACTACGACCACCGCACCACACCGCTCGCGCGGGCCAAGAGCTAAAGGTCACATTGGGCATCCCCGACACGAGGTGACATCGCTCCGATCGACGGCCAGCACATAAACAATGCGAGCAACGCAACGATGTCCGGGGGTTGGGTGGGAAGCCAGCAGTCGTCACCATCCAGTCATTCGCATCAGCGGAATACCAAGTTTTCTTGCTTACGCAGGTATTCATTAGGTAGTATGAAAATGCAATGTGCTACATTATATTGATAAGGCTCATATAGCCACCTTTGAATCCTAAGTCCTCCTCTGTAAGTCAAAAGTGTCTATGTACATGAAATGAACCTAAGGTCTGCTGCAACCGGAGTTGCCTTGAACACCCCTTTTCTGAGAGAGTTTTGCGCGACCTTTTTGCTGTCAAATAGAATTACCCTCCATAACCATTCTCCTGGGATATCATTACTCCAGTCATCTGGATGCCATGTGCTTCTTCCCATCATTCCAGTCCTTCCTTTTACCGGTTGATCATCAGTGAGTGTAAGGGGTATATCTGTATATCCGTGCCGTCGTAGCATTGAGCTTGTCGTCAAAGTCGTATGGATGTGATCCATTATTAAAGGCCCGACCGTCCCGGAAGAGACGGGCATCAGTGTAGAAATGAGGTTATTAGTGCCCTCAGAGAAGTAAAATGAGAGAAAGAAAAGTCCGGAAACAGATGGTCCATCTTCCAGGACCAAATGTCTAGAGGAGAGCAACGGCACCAACGAGGCCAGCCAGCAAGGCAGCCCCCGGCGCTCTGCGGGCGTCGGCAGCAGCAGTAGGCACGACCACTGGAGCCTGGCTCGACGCCGTGACCGGGGGAAGGATCACGGCGCTTGTTGTAGGGACGACGACGGTGCTGGCGGGCCGGGTCTGCGTGGCGTACACAGTTCCCGACACGGTGATGTAGACCCATGACTTTTGCGTCACGACACTCTCGCCGCCCACGGTCACGGCCTGGGTGACCTCGACGTGTGCCGTCTTGGTCTCGACAATGACTTCCGTCAGGGTGTGGACCTTCTCGACGGTAATGGTTTTGGTGCCTGTGGCAGTGATCCAAACCGTCTCTCCGTGCTCGATGGTCTGATAAGTCGTCACGGGCTTTGTAATGGTCTCGTAGACTTCTGTGGAAAGATGCTGAGTGGTCTTTACGGTCGTCCAGACGTCCACTTTGGTGGGAACTTCCGTGACGATGGTTGAGGTAGATGTGTAAGTGACGACTACCGTCTCTCCGCCAATAGTCTTGGTCTCGGTCTGGCCATCATGTTAGCTCGGGGAGGTCCGGGAAGTCTTGGCTGAGGGAAGGGGTTCTCAAGACTCACCACAGGGCAAAGAGAAGTGATGGTGGTGTACTCGATGTCCTTCTCCGTCTTGGTGACGTCAGGGAGCTTCTCAGTCTGCCAGACCTTGGTAGGAACGTGAGTCACGATGGTGGATGTGGTGGTGTACGTCTTGGTCCAGGTCTTGCCGCCCTCGGTGTAGGTCTCCGTGACCGGGCAGAGGCTTGTGAGGGTTGTAAGCTGGACATCCGTGGCCGTCACTACGGCCGTCGGGCCGGGAACGGTCTCGATGATCTTGGTCGGCTTCTTTTCGACGACGGTGCTGAGTGTGGTGTACACAACAGTCTTAGTGGTGCCTTCTCCAACGATCGTCTCCGTCTGTAGGAAGTGTTAGTCAGGATGCCCTTTGCTCGGAGCTTTTGGCTGGGAAGCTTTGCTTGGAGGGACCACTTACAATCGGGCAGTAGGTCGTGTAGGTGGTGTAGTCAGTGTCTATTTCCGTCACGACTTCAGTGGCGCCTGGAAGGGTCTCATAGATCGTCGTGGGGTGCTTCTCTACAACGGTGGACGTGGTGGTGATAGTCTCATACTGAGTGGTGTGTTCGCCGGGCTTTGTGATTGTCTAACAAGGAACGTCAGCCACGCCGCATCATAAAAAGGGCTCGAGGTCTACTTACAACAGGGCACACGGTCGTGTACGTGGTCAGGACTTCCGTGACAATAGTCTTGGTCTTATCCTTACCCCAGTCGTGGTCCTCGGTTGCAAGAGCAGTGGCGGCCAGAGCCAGCAGAGCAGTAGTGAACTTCATGGCTGCGGGTGGAGGTGATATTGAGAGCTTTTCAAACGAGAGATACTCTTGAAACGATGGGCGGAGGAAGCGAGAGCTTTAATTCGAGCGAGAGTCTCTTAAGTAACCTTAACGAACGAGTTACTTGATAGCACAAGATCACGAATATGTGGTTGGCTGGGAGATGGAGAGAGGCTGGTGAGGGCTGCAAGAGGATGGAGAAACAAGGAGAAAGGTTCAAGCAAAGAAGAGATGGCTGGGTAAGCTTATATCTTGAGGCCATGAACAGGTGGCCGGCATACCCGGTCTGCCTGCAGGCGGACGGGTGAGGAGAAGAGGAAGCAGAGTGCGAAGGATGAGATGACATCTCTGCTTGTCGACCAACATTGGTTGGCGATCTCCACTGCGGCTTGCAGTAGTCTTGGGCCATGTGGACAGCAGACCGGCCGCGGCCTGATCCATGAAGGAGGACCTTGGGTAGGGGGTAGAGGACAAGTACGCCAAGTGTGTGATACGAGGGAAAGCGATCTTGGAGATGCAGCCTAACAGTTGGGAAGAACCTGGAGCTCAGTGAGTGGCTGGAGGAGAGCTCGATGGGATAGGTGAGGACGCTGGTGTAGGACGAGTCCTGTGGTGTGTATAGATGAACGACTTCGTCTCGGCCGAATGGCGACACGGCAGCCAAAGGCGCAATGGTTGAATCGAAATCGGAAGATGAGGCATACGCCACCCGGTGTGCGTAGTGCAACTGCAGCCAAGAGACGAGGTTGGACGACGACGACGAAAGACGAGGACGGCGAGGCTCGACAAGGTTCAGCGACACCCATGTCGCTTTTGACCGTCAGACGGGTAGCTTATGTGATGACTTGAACGAATAAGAGCGCGAGTATTGACTAGGGCCGATGGCATTGCAGCTTGCAGAAAGACGACTAGGTAGGCAGACCGCCATCCCCCGGCTGGCCATGTTGCCCCGGCCGTGATGCCGTTTTCAAGGCTGTCAGCTCAGGCTTTGACATCCTAGCCGGCTGGTGTCGGTAGTGGCCGACTGATGATGACGGCACAAGGAGGGGCATTTAATATAATCTAGGTGTCTTATGTGGTGAGCTTTGGAAATCCCTTGGCCCAATGATAGCCGTATTGACACGACACTGGCTGCGAGCAAGGCATGCCAACATTTCCAGGGCTTTTCGTCAATCCTGTCTGACTAGATGCTCGAAAAGGCGGGCAAGGCAGCACTGCAGGCCGCGAGGTGACGAAAATGTTCGCTGGCGATCGAAGAAACCCCCTCACTTTGGACCATCTGTGCCTTAGTTGCTTCACACAACCGCGTTCTTTCTTGAGTCTCGACCGATTAAGTATACCCGAGTAGCAGCAAAGTCGAGCGCCAGCAAGGAGCGGCGTCTTCGTATTGCTGATAGATGTTGAGCCTTGCGCTGTCAGTTCTTTTCTAGCCGCATCTACTTTTGATTAAATTTTCGCCGTCAGAAGCTGGGTATGAGGCGGACTCGACCGGTGCATAAGTTTCTCAATGTCGGACAGACGTAGCTCGATGCTTGCTGCGTCCTCGAGGGGGGCTCGTGTCCATGTCGTGGCACCAAGCTCAAGACCTGCAGCTCGCGGGAAACATCCAATGAAGAGACGCACCAGTGATGCAGTCCAAGTCGTTGGTGTACAGGAACGCGTCCAACCAGATCCAGGGGCCGGCTCCGAATGAGCACAAAACTTGTTTTGGTGTGGCCGCCAAAATTCTGGAAAAGAGCCGGGACAGCGGTAACCAGGCCAGCGCCGGGCAAATCCAAGAAAAATAATGTTTACAAACTAGACCTCGGTCATCCGTTTACTAGCCTTGCTTGGAAGATGCATGCCCTTCGAAATACTCCAAAAAAAACCATCGTCGGGTTAAATAGAGCGGGCTGAGCCATTGCCCGACTGTGCCCAATTGGCAGCCAACACGTGAAGTAGCTCGTTGCCCGTGTAGCTGGCGTGCTCGTAGGTTGATAACCAAAGCTCGGCACAAGTTCCCCAAGTGCCGCCATTGCTAGAGCACGATCCAGTGATCGTCCAAGTGGCCCAATGTTTCCCGCGGGGTACCCCTGACTCGCCCCAGCTAGGACCAGCCGCCCTAGACTGAAGTCTGATATGTTGGTTTCTATCAGGAATAGCAACAGCTAATACCGATAGCCCCGGAACATGGCCCCGGGAGGGCAGACATTTGCTGGTGCGAGACGCCGGCAACTTTAGAGTCGATGAAGAAGCTATCTGATAAGCAAAGCACGCCATAATGGCTCGGGTGTGTTAGTCGCGTGTCAGCAGGAGTGACTGACAAGGAGCGGCTCAACAACATTGAGCATCGAGAATTGGGAATCGAGAATCGAAGCTATGACAAACGGATCATTTGATACATGCGGCAAAGGCTCCAGCCTCTTGGAATCTGGGCGAATAAGCCGCGTCGGGGCGGCGCCATGGAACATGGGTGAGCGCTGACAGTCAGCAGGAAGTTGGCTACTTCGCATTGTTGTCGCCTGCCCCGCCATTTTGTGTTGACGGTTGACGAGGAGTTGCGGACGCGGGGCCAGTGGCTTCATCTGCGCCGTGCTCTTCGGGCACTTGCGCAGTCAATATTTCTTTTCCCAACTCCCCGCACTGCCCGCCGTTGCCGAACCACAGCCAACGACGTGCAGAACAGGGAATAGAGGTAGGCAATTGAGTCTGGGGAACTTTGGTATTGAGGGAATTCCCAATGGTCAGGTGCGTCAGACCTTCTGGAAAGTAAGCCAGTTGGCAAGCCGATGCCATGGGTGCCCATCCTTCTCTACACAGTAGAGCAAGGTCTCCGGGCAAAGGACTTCCCTGGCAACAGAGCGGCACAGCTTTCGGTAGGAGCCCCGCAATGGTCGTCAAAGATGGCTGGCGTGATGATGATGATGATGGACGCCTCGGGAGCGGCACGGTTGCCCAGACTTTGACCAAAGCGAGGACCAGGAACTGGCTTCCAGTCGCCATGCACGAGAAGACGCCGGGCCGGGTACAGGGGTTGAGCGCGAGAAAAGAGTGGGTTGAGTAAGGCGTCCAAATCCGATGCATGATGCACATTGGCGTGGGCATCGTCGACAGGGGTGTGTGGAGAGGAAGAGGGAAATATTGGAGCCAAGGACGGCACGAAGAGGTGAGAAGTGACGAGCAGGCAAGTTGGAGCGAGCCATCGACATCGTGAACCTAAGGTTGAGGGAAGAACACACTGAGCGATTGGATGAAGCGGAGAGAAGAAGAGACGAGGGAAGGTTGGTTGGGTTCAGATGATGGCTTCTGCCGTCTTCCCTTCTATTGTGTAAGCATCCCATGCAGAGGACTTTCTCCCCACATCGTTCCCACTTTGCGACAGCTCATGGATTCAATTTACAGTTCTGGCCCCCAAACCTAATGACAACGGACGCTGTGAGGCGGGAGCGCAGCGTTTCTGTCGTCTGGACTCTCGGCATTACCTGCAGCCACATGCAGCTCGACTTGAAGGTGAGCAGGTACGTAGTCACGCAATCTACCAGCCATGTGTATTGCATAAATCGTATATTCAATTGTCTATACGATAAAGAGAAGCGAAGACCTGGAGTCTGGCAAGTAGGCAGGCACAAAGGCAAAGTGGACGACAGTGGGGAGCGGGGTAGGATTTACATAGCATAGGGCAGCAGTGGGAATGCCTCTTTCTCCATCGCCCCTCCCGGCACATGTCCCACCAGGTCCCACCCGCCCCACTCTGCAAGTTTACTACCTAGTGTACCTTTGCCAGGCCCGAAGCGGCAGGAAATTTCTCCGTTCATACTACTGTGTAGTTACCTTACGAGAGGATCTTGATGGAGGCTTGGTGGCAGCAAAACGAGGTATGGCGAGCGCGTAGCAGATGTCACTTGGATCGAGACGGAACCGTGTGGCTCCGATTAAGGACCTCAAACTGCCAGTTATCAAACTGCAACGGGAGTCTCGGCCGAGCCCGAAAAGAAGCCATCCCGGGGCAGCGGAATCCTCGGCCGACCCAGAAATTGATCTTCGTCTCTCATGGAGATTTTGACCCGTCTGTATCTCATGAAGAGGAAGCGAAGTGCAGAAATATGAAAACGAGGCTCACCTCGTTTGCGTTCCCAGACTCGAGATTGATCAAGTCGAGCGTCAAGAGGCTATTGTCGACTTATTCCAATACTTCAAACAATGTCCCTCTCGGATTACCTTCCAGCAAACTGGGACAGCCCTTTGCGCCTGGCGGCCTTTTTCATATCAGCACCCATCATCGTTTTCCTGTTATGGGTTCTCGTTTCTTATGGTCGTGTGTTGTACTTGAGGTCTCGCATGCCACCCGGTCCGTTCCCATATCCCATCGTTGGAAACATCGGGCGTGTGCCCGCAGCGAAGCCCTATCTCATCTTTGAAAAATGGTCGAAGGAATATGATAGCCCTCTGATCACTATCTGGACGGGAAACCGTCCGACGATCGTTGTAAACGACTGTTGGGCAGCGTCGGATCTAATGGACAAACGAGCCCAAATCTATTCGTCGCGTCCACATTCCTACCTAGCCGATGCATTTGACGAAACAGAAAACAATCAGACCAGCCTCGTATATGGAGACAAATGGCGTTTACATCGACGTATAACGGTCAGTTGCCTATATCGATATTGTTGCTACCTGCGTTGTCTTTTATTGACGGCCTTTCAGCATACCGTAGTTGGCAGCCAAGCCGTTCGGGGATACCGAACATTCCAGGCCAACGAGTCCAAGATATTGATTCGTGATATCATGGAGACCCAGCAGTTCGTCTCGGCTATTGAGCGATACGCATGCTCAGTTGCCGCCATTATCGGATGGGGCCGTCGGGTTCGATCGATGGATGACGATCTTGCTAAGCTTGCGTTATCATTCGTGCAGACAGGAGCTGGCTTTTCCGCACCGGCTCAATATTTAGTCGAGGCCTATCCATGGATCAGCAAGCTTCCTAAATGTATCTACCCGTTTCCTTCCATGATATGGGATGA